AAAATTAGTCTTTGTATTTTTCAAAAGAATAGTATTGGTACTACCATCTACAATATCGACAATGCCCTTATAAAATAGCTTAATTTCACCTAGAATGTGAAGGCCCAAGTTGATTATTAAAGCTTATGAAAGTCATTAGGGATCATCATGCATCATTTTTACACCCCTTTAACATCAAAAACGTCTTAACACAATCATCTAGCACTTAAACCCTCAACATGCTTCGCCACCATATACAAGCAAGCAAACTCATGCAGATGACATACAAGTAGTACGGAGGAGTTAGATTGTGTTACCTCAGACTACAAACTACCTAAAAACCTCTTAAGCTCACTCTAGAACCAATTATTCCTAGCACTTACTCTTTGAGGAATCTTTACACCACTCTACCACCACTGTCAAGCCTCTACAATGTTTCTTGCAACAAAGGGAATGATTATCACTTGCTTAACAACAACTAATCTTAAGGAAAATAGGATATAATCATGTGAGAAAATCCCTTAGAGCTCAAACCCTCCCAAGAAACCATGAGATCTCAAGAACACCATAGAAGAAGATGACGAGCTCCCCATGAAGCCAACGATCTCTAGATTATAAATCTTACCTCTTAATTTTTAGATGGATGAAGATGATTAATAAGGTTGGAGTCTTGGAGAGAAGAGAAGAAAAAATGAGAAAATACAAAAAAGAGAAAAGGAGATAAGAATAAAAGAGAATTATTGTCTCTTCCTCCACAAAACTCACACCTAAAGAAGAAAGAATCCCTACAAATCTACCTCATTTTCATCAATGGTCAAATTACACATTTGGTCATTGCTCATTTGCTCTCAACTTAAAAATCCCTTTTTTTTTTATCTTAAATGAAGTTAATTTCTAATTCGATTAAACTCAAATTCGAACCAATAGACCTTCATACTATAATAAATCTATTAAATAAACTCTAGGGTCAACACTTGAATAGTGACTCAAAAATTCAGGTTGTTACAACTACCTTATGCAGTACGGTATTACCATTTTAAATAACCTAATTTTTGTCTTTGTTCATTCGGAATCAATATTTTTCATCTAGTATCAATTATACAACTTAGAAATACAGTTTTCACTCAGGAAACACCCCCAAACTTACCACAAACAATTATGTTAAAGTATATATTAATTATTAAAGCATATGGAAGTCATTAAGGGTAATCATACATCATTTTTGCACCAATGTAACATCCACGACAAATAATCAAGCACCCAATCCCCACATGTTTTTTCACCTCATACAAGTTTTGTTAGATGTTATGCACTACAAGTAGTAGGAAAGAGATAGAGTGTGTTACCTCAACTTCTAACAAATTAAAAACCTCTCTAGCTTACCCAAGAACTACTTTCTTTAGGAGTTCTTGCACCACTTTTCCTCTTATCAAAAGCCACAAAATGATTTCAACATTAAAATGATGAATTTAAATCGTTAAACAACAACTAAACTACAAGAAAAATAGATGAAACCATGTGAGAAAGCCTTTGAAGGTTAAACCCTCCCGAACCTTCAAATGAGCTCATGGCCACCATTGAAGAAGATGGAGAGTTCATCTTGGAGCTTGTGACCCAAGGATCAAGAATCTCACCATAGAATCTTATTTTCTTGAAACTTGAGGAAAGATGAAGCCCTTCACCTTTTTTGCTTGAGAGAAAAAGAAAATAAAGAAGAAGAATAAGTGGAGACAAAAAAAGATGGAATGGGAAAAAGAAGGGAATGAAGAGAGAAAAAACTTCTCTCTGCCCAAAGCCTAAAATAGAAAATCAACTTAAATATGTTATGGTTTTTCTCGATAGGGAAATTAAAGTCCCTCTTATATCACTCCAAGCTTAAAGACCTATTTTTTTTTATCTCATGTAAAGCCAATTTCTCACCTGATTAAACTCAAATTTAAATCGATTAACCTCCAATATATTAAATAAAATTTCAGGTTAACACTCGAATGTTGACTCAAAGAATTGGGTTGTTACAATAAGATCAAACAACTCTAATTTAAAAATAATAAATATAATATGTGTTTAATTGTTTATCTTTAAAAAATTGGCACTCAATTGGACCACTTTAGTAAATCTCCGACAATCATAGTAGAAAAGACTTAATTTTATTTTGAACCTAATGATTCTATCGCAATATTTTTAGCTTAAAGAACGAATACTTTACAACTTATTATATTATATTTTTAGAAAGACGAAATCTCTGCAAATTTTATAACAATTCTTCTATTAGAGTAAAAGTTCAATTTATAACAGGGGTCGGGGCCCCTTTTAACCTCAATGGACCTCCGTCCCTAGTTACAAGATAGTATCTATTCAAATCTTCCAAAACCAATTACAAGCACACACACCTTATAGACGTAGTTACTCGAATTCAAGATCTTTAAAGAGAAAAACATTCATTTTTATCAGTAAGATCACTTAATGACTTAGGTGATTTCTAAAATTACACACATATATAGTAGAGTAGGATATATAATGCAGTAAAACATATGAATCGTGTACTGATAATGAATTTAACAATATTCGCCATCATTTTGCTCCATTGTCATCAGCAGATTGAGCTTGTATTAGTTGTTTTTGTAATCTCCGGCGAATTTTGCGAGATAGACTCTGGCATATTGGTGGATGACCACCATTTTCATAAATGCAAAGTATGACAAATAGTTTTAAACCCTGAAATTCGGGAGCATTCAACATCAATTAAGTAGGCTTGCTTTTCTCTTATCTCCGCCACGCAAGGGACTGGACACAGAATTTTATATTAAAAGGGAGTGAATTTGAACTTATAAAATTTCAAGGGATTAAATAAAATTTTAGGGGGTGAAAATAGATTTTAATAAAATATATATAAAAAATATTTAAAATATATAGTAATTTTATATTTTTTATGGAAGACGACTGCACCCCTCAAGGTCCATCCCTGACCACATACTCCCGCATGTCATTCAACTCAATATTGATGAGTTCACAGTATTTTAATACCCAATAGATCGCCAAAAAGCATTATTGAGTAGCTAGTGCACGAGTTAACTGTGTATTTTGTTAGTAGTTTAAATTTGACTTATCAAAATTCGGTCAATGATCGATTTGATTTGACTCGACTCAAATTCGAGTTCAATTTATAATTTTAACTAGTCAATTTAAATAAATTTAAGTCATTCAACTCAATATTGATGAGTTCACAGTATTTTAATACCCAATAGTTCGCCAAAAAGCATTATTGAGTAGCTAGTGCACGAGTTAACTGAGTATTTTGTTAGTAGTTCAAATTTGACTTATCAAAATTCGGTCAATGATCGATTTGGTTTGACTCGACTCAAATTCGAGTTCAATTCATAATTTTAACTAGTCAATTTAAATAAATTTAACTCGACTCAATTAGTTCGTAAATAGTTCATTATTTCTTTTATACTTTTTAGGGTGACATTTATCTTAATTTTAAGATTAATTAAGTATTGTTAAACTTTTTTTTTCAAGAATGATTGCAATATGTTAGTTTGGTATGTTTGTAGATTTTGATTATGAAATTTGAACTTAAGAATTGCCAAACACATATTTTGATATTTTTTAAAAAAATGTAGTTTATGTTTAAATTAAGTTTTATATAATATTACTAGATTTTACATATATTTTAAAAAATCAAGGCAGAACAAACTTAACAGAAACGAGTAGAGTAGAGTAATGAATTCTTTTTGTTGAGCACGAATCATATAAAATTTTATCAAGTTTATCGAGTATTGACTCGAATTGAATTGAGCATTGTTCAACTCGTGATCGACTCGTTCTATAAGCATATCTAATAGCTATTGTATGTAATCAATCGCTTCCTAAGAATATGTTTTATTAAACTTTAATTTGACCCAACCCATAAACATGTCTGCTTTCAAATATTATCACCTAAACTCTATTTTGTACGAAAATAAAATTTATAAAATATTTTCAAAAATCTATCAAATAATAAAAAAATAGTTAATGTAAAATCATCCAAAAACTAAAAATAGTATATATATATATATATATATATATAAGAACATTTCGTTGTCTAGACATTATTTTATAAATAAAAAAATCAGCATAAAATTTCCAGGGAAAAAACGAGGTGTAATTGGGTAAGGCTCAAACAGGGCCACTAGATATTAATCAAACTAAATAATTTTTAAATATATAAATATTTAACTTATTTGATCACATGCACGAACACATCTATAGATTTAAGCACGTCGGACAAAATTTTTAACATTTATTATCAAATGATTGAATCTTTCTAGTAGATATTATCAATCATCCTTATAAATGAACAAAACGTTTGATAAATTGTTTATGAACTGTTCGTATAATATTTTTTTATGTTTATTTGTTAAACTAAATAAATAAATAAATATGAACAAAATGTTTATGTTCGTTTAATAAAACAAAGATATGTTCTGTTCGTTTATGTTCACGAACAAACTCGTTTATAAGACCGTTTACTCAAGGTAGTGACTAAATTGAATATATGATTTAGAGTTTAAACTATAAATCTTAAGGAGATTAAGCACTATGTCATAATTTTACTATTTTCTTCGGCTTGCAATTGAAAAACTAAAAATGGAACATGTAGACGGACACTAGACAAACATATAAACAAACGCTAAACAAACATGTTTACAAAGATTAAACGTACATGTTCGTGAACAATAAATAAGAGAATATAAACACCTTCAAAAATAAATAAACAAGACATTAAAAATTTAATTGAACACGAACCGAATATAAGAAATTTAAAAAAATCAAATTAACACAAACACAACCTTATTCTTTTTTGGGTTACAGGACACAACCTTATTCGTTCAAGCTCGATTTATTTACACTCCTGTTGACTCGACCCTAAACCTTAAAAAAAAACAACTATTGACCAAATAAAACAACCCTTTGGTTTTCAGTCTGATCAATCAAACCAAATAAAATGAGCAATTAGGTAGAAATACAGGGATATTGAATTAGTTCAATTTCATATCTTCATTAAATAAATAAAATCCAATTACAGTGTACAACCAATACAAGATTTCCTAAGAAACATGATGCTATGGAATGGTGAAAGGAATAATTTTGGTTCTCCTTTTCTTTTCTCCCTAGTTGTATCAATATAAAGAGTTGTAGGTAAAGCATGTAGCAACAATAGAGCCAACACATATAAGTAGTGAAGGAAGAAGAGTGACATTCAAAAGCCGACTCTGACCTAAGAACCCCACCACTGTTATTGTCGCATCCGCAATCACTCGAGCAATCGTCCCGGCTTCCGTCGAGAGTAGTCCCCCGTTGTACGTTCCACGCGATAGCCTCGATGACATTACCCGCGAAAGTAGCGACAAGTTCACACCTGAGGCCAACAATGGAAAAATTACAGCTTAATATAATGGCATCGAAACAACAATGCATAATAGCTCTTTATATAAGGGGAAACCGCGCCTATGGTTTCGTAAACGAAGTACCTACCTTCGAGCACTTCGGCCGAAACAAACATGATGAGCCCTGAGAAGACATACTGGGGTACAGTGTATGGTATTATCATCTGGAAGCTAAGCAGTATTCCTATGCAAACCATAATTTCAGATGCCAATAAAATCTGCCTGCAATCAACAAAACAATTCCAGGGATCATGATCAACAAAGATATGGAATACCAAATTATTTTAAATTTAACTAAAACCGGTCAACGCTTTTTTTTTTAAGAAAAAAATACCTGTCTTCAAACATATTGCTAATGTAGCTGCCAACAACAATGTTCACCGGAAGAACCGTTAACCCAAGACAAGCGAGAAAGATGGAAACGGTGCTCGTAGACCAGCTGAAGTAGTATGTGGTGATGACACTAGATTCCGAGAGTAAAATTTCCATTGCGTACTTCAGCATGAAATATATCAACAATTGAACCTGATGATATTACAAGAATCCAGGTTAGAATATTCAAGTATACCTTTGAACTCATGCCAGCATTCGATTAAATTGTATACCTTTACTGAGGGTGTAAGTAGTCTATAAGCTGACATAAACGATGTAGCAGGCTGACGAGATTCCTCTGGAGCCTCTTCACTTCCATCACCTTCTGGATCCTCATCGTCTTCTTGCTTCTCTTCTGAAGTAATTAGCAATGGTTGTTTACCTTCCTCGAGTACATTATTTTCTACCGTTTCTGTATTTACATGATGTAACATTCAAATCAATCATTTTAGTGGACTGCTTAAAATGTCGAGCGCCAAAGGATGAGAGAGAAGAACACGCACCTGAACCAGACACATGAGGCTCTTCTATATCACGGGATGGTTCTTTGAATGAGATCCACAACCATATCAGATATAAAAGCCAAGCTACAGCCATAACCCATCCTGGCAAAGTGTTTTGATCGAAGGTAAACTTGTAAATCTTGAAATTTGTCTGAAGTATGCCAGCAAGAGCAGGACCACAAGCCATCCCCAAAGCACTGGCGCTAACAAAACCAGCTGATGCCTGCATCCTGATTTTTAGCGGTACACAATCACTGATATAACGGCGATTAACAGCTCTAGCAGAACCAAATCTGCAAAGACAAGATTAACTTCATCAAGCTAGTAGCTACTGGGGAATATGTAAAAATGAAATAATATGTCTTCCAATCTTTTAAACTGATAACATTCATTGGTTAAGTTGCAATTTAGGACATGAAATCATATTTAATCTCCAATTCTATTCCTAACCTGCAAGATTCCGATCAGCCTCAGTTTTTCCCTACAAATAATATAATAATTGTAATCAAAGAAGAAAATTTTAAAATGGTTTCACTTTAGAGACATCATTCATCAAGAGGTTCCACAATACCGTATCCAAATTGATAAAGCTAGCTTTGATCATGTCTAATGAATGATTGTGTCACATCAATACTATCTATGCTCCGAGTGCTGACAAATTAGAAGAGGAAAAGGAAGAACCCATACCCACAAAAAAGTCGACCAAGTAGAAGAACTGTCAATGAGTTCATATCATAAGCCATTGCGTACATTGCATTTCCCACAAAAAGGACAACACTGCTAAATACGAGTGGTCTGAAGTATGATCGATTAGACCATGCACTAAAATACACAGAAGAAAACACCTGTGCAACAGCCATTGCCCCAATAACAATACCGCAAACTGTTGCAGCAGCTCCAAGCCTCATGGAGTAGTCATCTGCTGTGGGGACAATAATATATGTATTGACCATATAGAGGAATGTGTTTGCCAAGTTCAAGAGGAGGGACATGAAATGATATTTCTCTTCATCGATGCGTTGTTCATCAGCAGGAGTAGGTAACTTCTCTTGCATAATGAGAGCATGTTGTGCCAGAAAGTTTAGGAAGTTTGTCGAGTAAGTTAACCTATCCACAGCTGCTTTTATTGCATCAACAACAGGATCCTGCATATTATCCAAGTAAATAGCACACCCATAGCTTTATTATGATATAAATTTTTTGGCGTAGGAAGTAAGATGATAAATTAAATACAAATGTATATATCAGAAAAACCTGGAGAGGAAGGGCAGGAGGATCATAAATTGATAAGTAGCTTCCTTGACGGTCCTGGAGTTCATGAAGATTACGAGAAATTGCTCCAACAACAGCCCCTAAACCCTGAAATTTATACAACTAGAAAGTAAGCATATTGGATACCGGCTATAACTGCCTCTGCATACCCTACTATTACATGTTCACAGTCTAGTCTAAAAACTGAGCAAGAGCTGGATGGGAAAACCCCATCTACAAGCTTTATTAAAAATAAGAATAGAAATGAAAAATATGAAAACAAAGCCTGTATGAATTTGGCACATTACCACATGCTTGAACACTTGTTGCAACTGCGAATAAGGATGATTGGCACGAGTTTTGACATAGTAATCGGTGAATCTATAGTGAAAGCGTTTATCAAATTTTTTCAATATCTTTCGCAGTCCAATAGCATTCATTTCGACAAAATAGAGAAGCTTCAAAAGATCTTGCCCCACTGCCCTATAATCCTCTCTGAGTTCAGTTATTTGGGATATTTCTGGCTCCTCCTCAAGTGCATCATGTTGTTCTCTAAGCTTTGATAACCTGCTTGCAAGTTGACCTTGTTGCTCTAATATAAAAAGGACAATCTTCTCAATCTAAAATTTAGATACAAAAAAATCATGAGATATACATCAGATTGAGCCTTGAGAAAACATTTTTCATGCGCTCTTACGATAGTAGCATGAAAAAACCCACACCAAACCAATATTTACCCGGGAATGGGTGCACAATGAGCATAAAAAACAAATACGAGAATAAACAAGATATCCATAAACCAAAGGCATTTTGAAGTGAAGTGATAAAATGGGCATAAATTCTCTCGCAAGACTGTCAATAACCTTTATATGATTATAATCTCTCTTCCCTGGATCATGATACATCTCATTGCTGATATGGACCATTATAAAGTAATATTTTACCACTGAAAAAACAGTAAAATGTGATTCAACAACTAACAGCAAAGGATGAATAATATAGAGGACAAACTAAAAGAATCCTCATAAAATTATCTGCATTCTTCAAGATCTACTCTTTTCCCCTTAACAATACATGAAAAGGAAATGGACAAGTGAAAATAAGGGTAAAGTAGATCAGATTTTCCAAAGCAGAATATCAGTAAGTTTATGTGGGCTCCATAATATACCCTGTGATTCAAGCCTTAGGTCTTAGGTTTGCATGAAAACTAGATGCAGATACTTTGAAGTTCGTTTTCAAAATACCTGATTATCCAGCATTCTTGAGAAATCCTTGAGAACATGTCGTCGATCTTGTGTCCCAACTTCAATTTCATTAGCGTACTGTTTGACTCTCTTCTTCATTAATTTGTAGTTTATGTAAAATCTGCAAAGAATTAAATGTGGACAAAATGATAAACAAAGTCTCCCCACTAATGACATTTAGGTTTGTCACAAAACATGTAAATTCTCTATGTTCACATAAGACTAATAGTGGTAAATCAAGCACCACATGCAGTGGCAGAGCCAGGGGCAAGCAGTGGCCTTGTGGCCATCCCCCCCCCCCCCCCAAAATATGGAAAACTGCAGTTTAATCCCTGAAAAATATGAAATTATGAGGATAAAATTGCAGTTCGGTCCCTTAAGAAACATACCCTTGCCATTCCTGAATTTGTCTTTCCTTCAACTTCTTCCCAAAGGCAACCATCTCGCACTACACATAAAATGAAGTAAACAATATACAAATCGTTAGTCTTTCTCTCCTTGAATAGCTTTAAAATGTACAGCTGAAGCATCAACAATTTTCAAAAGGAACTTCTTTGATTTGAATTAATTTTATTAAGTTTAAAGTCTTATCATTAAACCAGAAAGTACGGTCGCTTCTAGAATTACTAGTTGATAAATAGAAATTTCATTTTACGTATCAATGCATCAAACGCCGGTGGAAAGAGTCATCCTAATCGACTTGCTCACCCCAAATAAAGTCAATAATTACAACAGCTGGCAAACGAATCAGTGAAAAATAAGAAAAGCTAGAAAATATTGGAGAGACAAAACTCGTGTTCTGTTTGGTTAATAAGAAAATTGGAGAAAGAAATTGTTTTCCCAGAATCCACACGAGATTAAAAGCAAAAGACATTGAAAGAAGTTAATCACCTGATGAAACAAAGCAAAAGCACCCTATTTCTTGTAGTTGGAAACAAACTTAGATGACCATCAACGAACAATACTTATAAACCCCAAAAGAAAAGCTGCAAGAACCAAGATGATCTTTTCTTCAGATGAGTCGGAATCGGCGGCTGTTGTGTCTTGTAAACTGAAGGAAAATGAAAAAGATGGAAATTTTCAGTGATTGTTTATCCAATTATTAGGAGAGAGAGAGGAATTTTATTATTTATTTTATTTTATATCTTGTAATTTTTGTTTGCCGCTTGATTTTTAAAAGAAGATGTACCAGAGAATTTATAGCCACCATCTGCATCATGGCCCACTTCAAGAACTCTGTAAAGGGACACAACACGTTTAGTTTACGTATACGTCCCGTTATGGATCTAATCATAAATCTCATCCTTATACTTTATGGAAAATGAAAAGTTAGTCTCTCTTTTTTATTTTATTATTTTTTGATTAAGCTATGGTAATTACAAAGTAGCACATGTTGTAAATACTCTCAACTATTTGATAATGAATGATCAATCATCCTACTGCAGTGACTGGTGCTCGAACCCGTGACCTCTAGAAACAACAACGATTCTTTAACCACTGAGGTAAGTTGGTTCGTACTAGTCTCTCTATTTTAATAAATGGTTAAATTTGAACTATATGATTTTGTTACTTTGCAGCATTTATATTGTTGAAGCGTTGATTTTTATTAGTCCCTTTTGTATAAATTGTTGAATTATATGTTTTACTATCATCGATATAATAATAAGATTTAATTGTATTAAATAATTAAATTAACTATCTCTTTCTAAAATATTCAAATTAAAATATAGATCTATCATCGTAATCATAAATTAACCATATAATAAGGATATTTTCCTATAATCATTAATACAAGAACTGTCTATTTAAGATCACACAAGGAACATAAAGGAGAAGGTTTAAAAACATAACTAAATAAACTCGAATAGAAGATAAATATGAACATATTTGATTGTATCGACAAATAAACCACAAAAATGATTAAGCTATTGAAAGACCACTGAAAAACCGTAAATCATAATCGAGCTACATGAGAAAACTATCCACGAACGCAGATATCATATTCAAATCTAATTCGAGGGTCCAAAGCAGAGAGATCACCATGATAACAAATAAGCGTCATCTTGATCAGTCGTGATAATTTCAAATACATCCCTGAAAAAATAATAAACAAAAATAATGGTCGAACGACCGAAAATGTACCAAATGGCAAAGAGAAAGATGCGATAAAATAGAGAAAAACGTGTAATAAATATAGAATTATTAAAAATTAAAAAGAAAAAGAAAAAAATAAAAGTATGATATAATAAAATAAAGAAAAACCGAAAATTAACATCCAATATTAAGACTGATAGGGTAGTTCTACGGTGTGGCGCCTAAAAAACGACTAATATACGGCGTGACCGGTTAAACAAGTGACCAGTTAAAATTTAGACCGGTTATGTTATATTATTTAACTGGAAATATTATAAAGTACAATAACATATTAGGTATCGCTTATATAATGTAATAGGTAACGCTTATATTGACCTATTTTATAAGTAAACTGATATATTTATACTGATAACATTGCAAATTTACCTATTACATTATAATATGTTGAAAATGTCCATACTTTTTTATAAAAAGGATCAATACTTTTTTTAAAGTTATGTAATTTATGTTTCAATTTTTTAATAGTGTTTCATGTTTTCCACCTACAATATTAATTTAATAATTTCATTTGCACAAAATATTATTTGATTGTTTTGATATTTTATAAAATAATATTTAGAATTTAATTTTAACAATATTAACCAAAGATAATAATAAATATGTAATATATATGTTTATTGTTTTTAATTTAATGATAATATATACCATAACATAAAAAATAAATCATTAGATACATATAATTACTAAATTGATATTTTAAAACTCACTCAAAAGATAACCTTAAATTAATGTTTTCCACAGTGAAATAAATATGGACACTTCTATAAAAAGGATAAATACTTTACAATATAAGCGCTACATATTACATTATATAAGCGTTACCTATTACATTATATTTTTACCTATTATATTGAAAGTGTCCATACTTTTTATAAAAAGGATCGATACTTTTTTTAAAGTTATGTAATTTATGTTTCAATTTTTTTTAATAGTGTTTCATGTTTTCCATCTACAATATTAATTTAATAATTTCATTTGCACAAAAAATTATTTAATTGTTTTGATATTTTATAAAATAATATTTAGAATTTAAATTTAACAATATTAACCAAAGATAATAATAAATATGTAATATATATGTTTATTGTTTTTAATTTAATAATAATATATATCGTAACGTAAAAAATAAATCATTAGACGCCTATAATTACTAAATTAATATTTTAAAACTCACTCAAAAGATAACCTTAAATTAATGTTTTCCACAGCGAAAAAAGTATGGACACTTTTATAAAAATGATATATACTTTACAATATAAGCGCTACTTATTACATTATATAAACGCTACCTATTACATTATATAAGCGCTACCTATTACATCATATTTTTACCTAATATATTGAAAGTGTCCATACTTTTTATAAAAAGGATCGATACTTTTTTTAAAGTTATGTAATTTATGTTTTAATTTTTTTTTAATAATGTTTCATGTTTTTCACCTACAATATTAATTTAATAATTTCATTTGCACAAAATATTATTTGATTATTTTGATATTTTATAAAATAATATTTAGAATTTAAATTTAACAATATTAACCAAAGATAATAATAAATATGTAATATATATGTTTTTTGTTTTTAATTTAATAATAATATATACCGTAACGTAAAAAATAAATCATTAGACACCTATAATTACTAAATTAATATCTTAAAACTCACTCAAAAGATAACCTTAAATTAATGTTTTCTACAGTGAAAAAAGTATGGACACTTTTATAAAAATGATAAATACTTTACAATATAAGCACTACCTATTACATTATATAAACGATATCTATTACATTATATAAGCGCTACCTATTACATCATATTTTTACCTATTATATTGAAAGTATCCATACTTTTTATAAAAAGGATCGATTCTTTTTTTTTAAAGTTATGTAATTTATGTTTCAATTTTTTTTAACAGTGTTTCATGTTTTCCACCTATAATATTAATTTAATAATTTCATTTACACAAAAAATTATTGATTGTTTTGATATTTATAAAATATATTTAGTATTTAAATTTAACAATATTAACCAAAGATAATAATAAATATGTAATATATATGTTTATTATTTTTAATTTAATAATAATATATACCGTAACGTAAAAAATAAATCATTAGACGCCTATAATTACTAAATTAATATCTTAAAACTCACTCAAAAGATAACCTTAAATTAATGTTTTCCACAGTGAAAAAAGTATGAACGCTTTTATAAAAATGATAGATATTTTATAATATAATAGGTAAAAATATGACAAAACTAGATTCATTATGACAAAACCGATAAAATTTACCTGATATGTTGAAAGTATGAACACTTTTATAAAAAGGACAGATACTTACCGATAACCAAAGTTTACCGGTTACCAATTTTATTAATAGTTTTTCATGTTTTCTACCTAAAACATTATTAGTCTGTCAACATAATAGGTAGCGCTAAACCAAATTTATTAAATATCTTTTAATGTATCCGGTAATATCGTATATTAACCGTATATTAACTCATATTTCCTAAGATAATCCCAGACTAATACCGGAGTTGATCACAAAATTAACGAAGGGAAAAAAATCAACGCGGCACAAAGAAGTTAGGGTTGAAAACCCAAACAAATAAAGAATTTCTTGATTATGTTCCAATTTCTGAAAAATTCAAAAGACAAAATCTTTTTCATTTTCTAATTTTCAAACATCAATTTAACCGTAAAACTCGTAAAATGTACATAAAACTCGTAAAAATTTAACCGTTCATTACTATACATTTACATTTACATAAATACGTTTAAAACCTTAGAAAACTCATTCATATGATTTTACAAACCAATTAGAGTATATCGTATTCAAATCTTTATTATATGTCAACCACTATAATTATTAAAAAATACATATTATTAACTTCTTTTCTGATCTGATCTTTGGAAATGAGAAACTGACCTGTCTTGCATAACTTTTATCAATCTTTCTCTTCTCGAAACCTACGTGTGAAACAATCACACGTTAAGTCATAGACTTAATGAGGCATATAAACATATAATGGAAACCGTAAAACATTTCATAAATAAATACACTTAACCTCATATAATTCATATCAAATGCATGAACATTTATTACAATCATATCATATAAAAACATATATTATTTCTGTAACATATACACATGCACATTTATCCTGATCAACACGTTTAACATTTCATATTCATTATCATTAATTCTTATAATTAACAATCTTATACATAATGTATCATGCATTAACCAAGCAATACACCGTTACATAAATCATGTGATCTATTCCATATAACAAATCACATATACATATCATATTCAGTATACTTATTAAATCTATTTATTAGCCCATGTACATTGTTGAGAACTAAAGGTATGTGAGTACATTGAGGTTGTGCACTAATGTTGTCACCACAGCTCGTATAAATTCCCACTAGGGGCACTGAATATTTGTCCCGAAGGACCGCATAGAAATGTCCTGGAGGACCATTATGTCCCAAAAAACCACATATCACATGTCCCGAAAGACCACTCCTTAAGAACCATATACATAATACATTGAACCAAATAAGTGTACCGAAGTACCACATACATGTTCCACAGAATTACATATATGTCCCCAAGGACCACGTAGAATTGTCCCAAAGGACCGCGTAGACCCTCGACTCTTGGCATGCCAACTATACCTATAGCTCTTGTATCATATAACATGGGCATTTTTCTTTGGATTTTTATATTCATGTACTCATATCATTGTTCTTATGATCACATATCACATATGCATATAATCGCGTAGTTTACTTTCATGTAATTCATGTCACTTTTCATATGAATTCATATCCATATGTCACATAGCTCGTATCACTTTGCATGGATTCACATA